CTCTCCTGTGTGGAGCCCCAGAGTGAAGAGCCCTGGCTCGGTGGCCTTGATCAGCTGGTAGGAGAGCCAGGCATTCTGGCCAGAGTCCGCATCCACGGCCACCACCTTAGTGACCAGGTAGCCTGCCTCAGAGGAGCGAGGGGCCAGCTCTATCCCTGTGGAGCCGTCAGTGGGAGGGGAAGGGTAAAGGATTTGGGGAGCGTTGTCATTCTGGTCCAGGATGAAGAGAGTCACTGAGACGTTGGAGCTAAGTGGTGGAGAACCTCCGTCCTGAGCCTTTACACGGAACCGAATGTCTCGAAACTCTTCATAATCAAAGGAGGTCACAGCATATATAACCCCCGTCTCAGAGTTAATGGAGAGGTAGGAGGAGAGCCGGGAGTCACTTATTTGGTCATCGGTGATGGAATATGTTATTCTGGCATTTTCTTCCCAGTCAATATCATTTGCTCTTAAAGAAGATACCATCGCTCCTCTCTGGTTATTTTCAACAAAATAGAAAGTATAGTCTGTTTTTTCAAAGAGGGGTGGGTTGTCATTTGTGTCTAAAACATGAAGTGTGATAACTGTGACGGCAGAAAGAGGGGGCACTCCATGGTCAGTAACAGTGACAGTAATATTGAAGACTGACACCTGTTCTCTGTCAAGGGCACCATCAGTCACTAAACTGTAAAAGTTATCCATGGACTTCTTTAGCTGGAAAGGGAGGTTGCTAGGGATCGAACATGTGATTTCCCCATTGATTCCTGAATCTCGGTCTTGGACATTTAATATGGCAATTACCGTTTGGGATGGTGAACTTTCCAGTATGGTGTTGGTGGCAAAGTTAACTGATAATTCAGGTGCATTGTCATTCAGATCCGTAACAGATATCACAACTTTTGATCTGTCACTCAGTCTTCCTCCATCTTTGGCTTGTATCTCAAATGCATATAAAGAGGATTCTTCATAATCAAGATTCCCAATAAGGATGATTTCACCTGTTGTGGAATTTAAGAGAAACATTTGGGAGTCTCTCTTTGTGATTTTTTGGAAAGAGTATTTAATGTCTCCATTGATTCCTTCATCCATATCAGTTGCTTTCACTGTCAAAAGTGTGGACCACTTGGGGATATTCTCATTGACACTCACTTCATAGAGAGGTTGGCTGAAAACTGGTGCATTGTCATTTGCATCAAGGACAACAATGTGAATTTGTAATGTGCCAGACCTGATAGGATCACCTCCATCAGTAGCTATGAGGAGCAGATCGTAAGCTGATTGTTCCTCTCTGTCCAGTGACTTTTCCAACACAAGTTCAGCAAGTCTGGCACCATTTTCTTCTGTTTGCACATGCAAAGCAAAATGGCTACTGCCTGTGAGTTGGTAGCTCTGCACTGAATTTATCCCCCAATCTGGATCTTGAGCTTCGGGAAGAGAGATCTGGAATCCAGGTATAGATGCCTCACTGATTTCCAGCTCCTGTTCCCATAGAGGGAAGTGGGGAGCATTATCATTTATATCTGTAATTTCCACTTCAATTCCATAAAGCTTCAGTTTGCTTTCAACAAGAACCTGAAACTTCAACAAACATTTCTCTGCCTCTCTGCAGATTTCCTCTCTATCTATTCTCTCAGATATCTGCAAATGGCCATTGTTGGCATTCAAAGAAAAATACTGAATCATACCTACAGGGTAAACAATGCGGAGTCCATGGTTTGGGAGCTGCTTGCCATCCATTCCCAGGTCCTTTGCAACATTCCCCACGGAAGAGCCTTTGTGCATCTCTTCTGGAATGGAGTATTGGATCTGCCCAGAAACTGCCTTCCAAGAAAACATCATGAAAAGGCACTGGAAGATTCCCTTTCTGCAATTCCACAGCCTCTGAGTTCCTTCCATTCCTTGCAGCAGGTTAAAGGCCCTTAGATTCTGGTTCAAATGATGCTGTATCCAATTTTTTAAAGAAAAATGCACTTCCATTTCTTCTTTACACTGACAAGCAGCTTGTTCCTTCAGATATTTTGTGTTTGTGTTTAACGGAAAGGCAACTTCAATTGGGCAGGATTTCACATTTCTGCTCCGTTCTGGTCAACAGTGACACCCAGAGGATCAAGCCCAAACTGCAAAAACTTCACTTTTGAAAATTAAATAAACACCATTTCACTGTACTATTATATTATAATATTATAAATATTATAAATGAAGATATAGCTAGGATAACTATGTATATTTTTCTATATTCTTTATTTTTTCCCTTCAAATTTACCCACTAAGGATAAAGTAGAGTGACAACTTTTGTTGTTGTAAACAAACTGAAATGGAGCAGGAAAGACAAGAGTGTTTAGGGTTCCTTCCCTACCCCATTACTGGAAATTCTGGAATGAATTGAATTCTGAAATGAACTTTCTCAGCAATGTTGTTTGCTGGATATTCAAAATATTCATTTTGGATGCAGAAAAAAAGAATAGTAAGCCTCTGGTACTTCTTATTTTCTTTGTTTCAGTGTAATGTTTGTAGTTGTAAAGTGAGGAAACTGATATGCTGACACACAGTTCTTTCCTGCTGTTTTCATGGGGAAACAGAAGCATCCACGTACGGAAAGGCTGACAGAGTTGCGGCATTAGCCAATGACATTCATTGTTGTGTGGTACCAAATACGCTGGTGTATGAAATTTAGCACAACTTGCCGGTATATCAGTCAAAAACCACAGTTCCTTAGCACAGTGAAAAGAACAGGACAGAAATGCTGACATTAAACTCAGGAAAAATAACTAATGCAATATTCCCCACAAATTTGAATGCAGTCTCTCTCCCCTCCCCATATCATAACACTGATCTACTTTTCTGGGTTATTGTAAGAGTTACGCAGCACTATATGTGAAGCACCTTGAACATCTTCTAACACTAGGTATTACTGCACAGAGCAAAGAAGTAAAATGGCCACATTCTCTGTAATTTATTGCCACTGCTTATCTGGAAAGGGCTGGGCTTCAGTCACAGCAAGGTTAGGAGCCATGCAGGTGCACCAGCAGGAATGCCAGATTGGTTGCTGACGGATGCATACAGACCCAGCCACACTGCTGCCTCATCCACAGCTCCAGCTTATCACAAACATCACTACTGTGGATGGATAACATTCAATGGCAGCTTAGAAGCACACATGTGAAAACTGGATGTCAAACTCAGAAGAGAGCTTTATTAAAAACTAGCATGTGAGGGCTTGTTAAAGAGCAGAGGTAGGTGGTTTTCGGCCATCTTCGTTGGAGAGCTTGATGTTGTGCTTCTTGTTCTACAAGATTAAACTGCTAAAACTGAATTTGGCCATTAGCAGGAGGGACAAGACACTGAATTATCCACTAGATAATGCCAACAAATGTTCTTTTAACATTAGTCTTCATCTTTCCTAATGGAATATACACTGGTGGTGAACATGACCCAGCTTTAAAGTGCAGATTACAGGATGTGCAGATGTATGTCCTGGCCAGATTGACTCTCCATAAGAAAACATTCCATGCCAAAGAGTTAAAAGGGCATCTACCATTGGTAGCTGTGACTCAATAGTCATTTGTCCCCTATATTTCTACAGTATGGAAGCATGACTAGAGATGGTATAAGTAGAAATACTAACCACATGCTCCACATCCACACATCCTTACATAGAAAGTGTTCACTACAACTGTTACAATTTGTCATAATCTCTAATGCAAATGCCAAGGAAAGGAATGCCAGTACTTTGGGATTGCATCCACACTGGACATCAGTAATATACAGTGGTACCTCAGGTTAAGTACTTAATTCGTTCTGGAGGTCCCTTCTTAACCTGAAACTGTTCTTAACCTGAATCACCACTTTAGCTAATGGGGCCTCCCGCTGCTGCTGAGCCGCCGGAGCCCAATTTCTGTTCTTATCCTGAAGCAAATTTCTTAACCTGAAGCACTATTTCTGGGTTAGCGGAGTGTGTAACCTGGGTTAGCGGAAGGTATGTAACCGAGGTACCACTGTATAAGAGAATACAGGACCTGGCCAGGGCAGGAGCCGGGGGGGGGCAGGGGATAGTTTCGGGTTCATGATACGGTCATGTTTGGTTTAGGGTATTTGTCAATTCAAGGACCATTTCCAGTATATACATATCTTGGAAGCGGGGGGATATGTGCATATTATTTAATTTTTTATTTAAAATAATTCTATAGTCCCCCCACCACTACCCCTCCACAAAGAGTGGTATACAACATCTCTAGAAATCATGACAAGAGAAACTCCCTTTTGATGTCACTCTTCTACACAGGTTGTACATGAGCATTTTTCATTCTACAAACAGCATGCAGTCACAGGACCTAAGAAATGCTTGTACAACTGATTGCTTCCATCAGAGCTCCACCACTTAATATGTTGTGCTATTCTCATCAGACCCAAATCCCAAGCTGTGTCTGTGACAGGAACACAATATCCAAATGCTATGTAAGATTATTTGTATATATGAGAACCAAATCAAGTTATTCTAAAACGTTTAGTGATTAATTAATCCTTTACTCTATTAAATAATCCAACCCATAAAAAGCTCCACAAACACTTCCTAAAATTCAGTTGAAAAACTTTACCAATTACTAGGAAATTTACCAACTTATTTAAAGAATATTCTATGAAAGACTTTTTGGTATTTCTTCTTGTAAATTTCTTAAAGGACAGAATGTGAAAATACCTACATATTCAATTGCATTTGTACTGCAAAGATAAGAAGAAGAAAAAAACATCATTCTCTCCACTCAGCCATGCTGCACCACTCTGTAATCTTAGCACGACACCGAGTTACCATGCAGATGTGTACCTGGACAATTCTGACAGAGCCTCCGCCATCCTGCTATGCTGCCCCTCAATAGCTGCTGGAAAGTCCAATTAGCTTGCTATACAGCAGTAGCAGCTCAATACTACTCCCTACCTACTTCCCTGATGACATGGTCTGAATTCTCTGGGATGCCAGTTTGATAACATCCACTGTTTACAATTAAACTCTCAAACAAGTGATAACACCAAATTCCCTATAAGGAACATGCAATATAACTCACCGTGCTGTCATTTTCCTTTTCAGAAATTAAATTGCCTCCACTGACCATCAAAGAAATGTCAGAGTTGCCATTGCAAAGGATGTTCTCTGCTATTTGGACAGTGGGCTGCAGGAATGTCAGCTCATTCCTCCTGGATTCAGAGGACAGACAGACCTGGTAGGAATAAGGCAAAGTTCCGTCCTCATAATTGGGTGGGAATATGGCACCAGCCTTTGAATGGGGGTCAGGAATAAAGCACTGGAGGAAAGTGGGGTTCCTTGACCTTCGAAGCTTCATCAGAATGGTCAGAATCACCGTCACCAGGAACAGAAAGGACACCAAGGTCAAGGCCAATACTAAATAAAACTGTAGATCAGACTGATACTCTGAGTCATTTGGTTGGGAGTTCATTTCTGGAAGAGCCTCCTGGAAGTTCTCAGCAAACACCAGGCTCAAAGTTGTGGTGGCTGAGAGAGGAGGATGCCCATTGTCCTTCACCAGGATGACCAGCCTCTGCTTCACTGCATCTCTCTCAAGTAATGCTCGGACTGTTTGCACCTCTCCTGTGTGGGAGCCAATGCTGAAGAGTGAGGGCTCTGTGGCCTGCAGGAGATGGAAGGAGAGCCAGGCATTGTGTCCTGAATCAGAGTCCACGGCCACCACCTTCGTCACCAGATAACCCGATTCAGCTGACCGAGGCACCATCTCAAAGAAAGGTGAGCCCTCTGTTGATTGTGAGGGGTACAGGATCTGCGGAGCGTTATCATTTCGATCCAAAACACATACTGTCACTGTGGCACTGCTATTGAGTGGTGGAGAACCTCTATCTTGGGCCTTCACTTGAATCTGAAACTCCCTGAATTGCTCATAGTCAAAGGAGCGTTGGGCATAGATGATCCCAGTCTCAGAGTTAATGGAGACATAGGAGGAGAGAGGCAGATCCTTGATGTTGCTGTTAAGGATGGAGTAAGTGATTCTGGCATTGCGATCCAGATCTGGGTCTGAGGCCTTGACGTGGAAAATTGAAGCTCCAGATGGGTTGTTCTCTGGAACGTAGGCAGTGTAGGAAGATTTTTCAAAGGCTGGTGGGTTATCATTGATATCTGAAATCTGTATTGATATGGATTTGTGTGTGGAGAGTGGAGGTGTGCCTTTGTCTGTGGCTATGATTGTAATATTATACTCGGGAGTCCTTTCTCTGTCAAGGGCACCATCTATGAGGAGCTTGAAGTAATTACTCGAAGATGAGACTATCAGGAAAGGTACAAGTTCCTTCAGGTGACAGGTGACTTCTCCGTTATCCCCAGAATCCCTGTCCTGAACTTTAATGAGAGCAATCACAGCTCCAGATGTGACATCTTCCGGAACTGGGCTGGACACGGATGTAAGGATCACATCTGGAGCATTGTCATTCTCATCAAGAACCTCAATCTCCACATTGCAATGTGCTGCCAATCCTCCTCCATCACTTGCCTGAATTATCATCACATATTTTTGTCTATCCTCAAAATCAACACTTTCTATGAGTGTAATTGTTCCATCTCTGGGATCCAGATGAAACTTCTGCTCAGCTGTTTTTGGGATGTCACTGAAAGTGTAAGTGACCTCAGCATATGACCCTTCATCACTGTCAGATGCTTTGACTTGGAGCACAGAGGTTCCTTTGGGTGCACTCTCCTTCAGGCTCACTTTATAGATTGTCTGGGTGAAAACAGGGGCATTGTCATTAATATCAATAACTGTTACCAATATTTTGGCTGTTCCGATTTTTGGAGGTTCTCCTCCATCCATGGCTGTAAGGACCATGTGGTGCATCTGTTCTTTTTCCCTGTCCAGTTGTTTCTGCAGTATTAATTCTGCATATTTTCCGCCATCATTGCTGTTTTGAATTTCTAGTTTGAAATATGGAGTTGAGCTCAACTGATAATTCTGGAGGGAGTTCATTCCGATATCATCATCTTCAGCATTTCCAAGAGCAAATCGAGTTCCCGGCAGAGTAGATTCACTAAATTTAAGCTCAATATTTTCATTCCGGAAATGTGGAGCATTATCATTGATGTCCTGGATAAAAATATTTACGTGGAAAATATTCAAAGGATTGTGTGCCACAACTTCTAATTTCAGGTCACAAGTGGATGATTCCCCACAAATCTCTTCCCGGTCTATCCTCTCATTCACATACAGGTTGCCATTTTGTTCATTCAGATCAAAGAATTGCTTTTCTGAAGAAATACCAAGCTTGCGCTTTGACAGCTCTCTGACATCCAACCCCAGATCCTTAGCAAGGTTCCCCACAAAGGAGCCCTGCTCTGCTTCCTCTGGAACTGAATACTGAACCTGCTCAGACAACACCTGACAGAAGAACACAGACCAGAATATGAACAGAAACAGTACTTGCCTCTTGGTGATCTCCCTTGTTCTCTCTGCCTGCTTTACTTCCATCACATCCATTGCCTTTCCTGATTTCTTCCTGCTTTCAGTACAGTTTTCAAGACTCCCAGTACACTTATTTGAGATAATAGAAATATTCTTCTTTTCAGCTGATCCTTGGGAAACTTAGAGCCTTCCTTTCTTGAGCAGCTTTTAAAATAAAAGCTTTTCCTTTCTGCTCAGCTGAAGTGTTAAGAGACACTGCTCTAAGAGTCTCAGAAATGCTGAGCCATGGCTGCTCCCATGTTGTCCAACAGTGACACTCAGAGTCCACATGGGGAACTGAATTTGCTTATACTGTATTCATGTTTATAATTCTATATTCCTATTTCCCCTGATATCTATGGAGAATTGTGAAGGACTAAAAATTCTTTCACTGGTTGTCCAAATGTACTTTAGTATCGCTTGATTAGAAGTCACATAAGCTTAATTCAGATTTGTTTTTCATTGCATACAAACTGTTATTTTAATATTTTTATTGCTTTTGCTGGTAGATGATAATGACACTTTAGGGTGTTTTTGATGTAGCATAAACACAAGCAGTTGCCAGCAGAAGAAAACCATGCAATAATTCAGAAAGCCTACATCCCTGCCTAGGGCTGCCATACGTTCGGATTTCCCTGGACGTTACTGGGATTTCAAAGGCGGAATTGACATCTTGGGGGAATTTCCAAAAGTTGGCGCTTTGTCCTCGTTCTTAGGCAAGTCAATCACAAAATCACGGTTTTAGGGGTGTTTTTGTCTAGAAAAAGCTCAACAACTTTCAGGTTTTCCTAAAAACAATTGTGGGATGCCCTGGCAACCCTATCCCTGCCAGAATTCTGGTGATTTGGCCTTTATTTAATTATGAACTTGTTTTAATTTTTTAAATTTGTTCTGTCTTTAAGATTTTGGTGCATTGTGTGCTTTATTTCTGTTCTATTGGCCATAATAAAATGTTGAAAAAGAAATTTAAATTCACTTTAGCACAGGATAACTCTTTCATTCTTTAGTCTTATGCATATTCATTTGACATTTTCCCCATATGTTTGTAATCTTCCCTGTGGCATCTGGCTGGCCACTGCTGCACTAGAGGAAGTTTTGGGTGATACATCTTTCCTTACGATTCTGTGTGATGATTTCTAATTCCTTAGGTGGTGACTTATTCAATAGTCTCCCTTTGACTTTTTTGGATGCTTTTCAATGGTATTTCCCAAGAAGACCCATATGATCCTTTTGAATAATTGGTTTTTTGTTTCTGTTTTCATAGTATTGGTACTTAATTCTATTCAACAATTGCTGGTAAGATTTTATTACAGTTTTTACATTACAATCCTATACCAACTTACCTGGGTATAAATTCCATTGAAGTCAATGAGACTTATATCTGAAGATAAAAGATTTGTTAGAGTTTTTTTGATTGCTTTGGCATATGTGGAAGTTTACTGTAATTAATCAGGAATGTTTATGACATGAAGAAAAAGCTTCTACATAAGTGCACTCAAAGTGTGCACTACTCTGCCAGAATTTCAGTTTGTCAGACTGTAAACTGAAATGTAATAATTAATCGTAGTAGTAGTAGTAGTAGTAGTAGTAGTAACAGTAGCAGTTTTGAACTGAGAACTTTCTTTTCTGCCATTATTGTATCAGTGCAGAGCCATTCAGCGGAGAGGATTTGAGTGATAAGAAACTTTCTTTTGGGGGTCTAAGATATATCCAGAACTGCTTATATCCACTCTTGACTTGAATGCAATCGTAGATTCGGAATGATTTTCTATCATTCTATCGGTCTTATTGTTGATATTAATTTGATAGGTTAAATTCTTATTACCTGAAAATGTGGAGTTATCAGTGAATAGTAACACCATTGTCCAGAATAGAAAGATTAGCCAAATGCATAGACTAAAACACAATGCATACACATAGCAAAATGAATCTATATTTGACTAATCCAGCAAGGATTATTTGACCAGTACAGCAAGGTAGATTAGAGGATGGATGCCTCCTTCTGGCACAGGCATCCCCAAACTCGGCCCTCCAGATGTTTTGGGACTACAACTCCCATCATCCCTAGCTAGCAGGACCAGTGGTCAGGGATGATGGGAATTGTAGTCCCAAAAACATTTGGAGGGCCTGTTCTAGCACATGGCTCCTGGTTTGGGATTGGGAACTGTAATGCAGGCAGGATAGGGCAGCTATTTCAGCATGCAATTCCCATCAGCACTCAAAGTGCATATAGCAACACCACCTTTCCTTCCAGGCTTAGAGGTACTTTATGCCTACTGTGAGCAATTATTACTTGCACATAACTAGGCACAAGTTACACCTAATTAAGAATAGTGGTCGGCAAAGAGAACCAGAAGATCATGTTACCACAGGAAAATGTATTTATTTGTTCAAAATAGGTTCATCTCAGCTTTTAGTCCAGGGACTTTCAAAGCAAATCACAACTTGAATGAAAACAATCAATCAACCAACAGGGAGGTGGAGGAAGTAATTGACAGTGTAATTGAACATAGAGGTCTTCACAGCCTGTCATTTAATGAGGGGGGTAATCAGACTTCCCAAGGGGGAGGCATTCCACAACAGAACAGAACAGGGGGCCAAAGGTAATCTGTCAGGGGCCGTATGCAGATGCTGGGCAAGACAAAAGCCAGTGGTGGACAGGGCTGAAGCCAAATGTGGGCACAGTCGGGGGGGGAGGAAGGGTCAAGACAAAAAAATAGGCCACCCCTTTCCCCCCTCTTTCTGCTACCTTCTTTCCCCCTCTTTTCCCCTCCTTGCCACTCACCAAAGTGAGAAGACCACCCACTGTGCCTTCTGGCTTGTGTCTCAGGCAATCAGCCCTTCAGTTGCCATGTTTCAAACAGTGAAAATCCGGACAGAAAAATTGTTGGGCAAGATCGCAACTGCCAACATGGGCTGCCATACGCCTGGATTTTCCCCAACATTTTTCTGATTTCTGCCCAGATGATGCTGTCAAATTTTGGATATGTCTGGGAAATTCTGGATATATGGCAACCCAACAGAACACAGAGCAAGGCCTATGATGAGAAATAAATACAGTGGGCAGGCTGGTTTGTGTAGGTAGTTTGTCAAATATCCTGCACAGAGCCAAACCACAATAAATTTCAAATATAAAATCCTTACTGTCACGTAAGCCCCAGTGGTTTAAGAAAAGACAGATTGAAACCAATAAAGATTTCCCCACTAGTAAAATAAGATACTAGCTATAAGTGGAATAAAATAATTGCCAACATGTCTAATTGCTTTGAAAAGGGTCAAGAAAAGAGATAAATGGAAAATTTATCTGTCAAGATTTGTAACTACATTTACAATTAGAAGAAAAAGTTAGCACACCTGGTCTCTGATTTCATTTCCATTGTTCCGATCTAAATCCCCAGTAGCAAAAATAGGATCCTTTACCTCCTAGGCCTGATCATTGGAAATAATTTGTCCTGGAAGTGTTAAACTGGTTTTTTTCATAAAGTCAGTGGTAAGAGAAAGATCATCACAATAAGAGTAAATAAATGCTTGGATTCCATCAATAGCCACAAACTGTGAGACAGGAGCACCACTGAAATTCACACTCCTTGACTCAAACAGCTGCAGTTTTCTCCATCTGTGCAACCTGATGACCACTAACACGAGGAAAGTGATGAACAAGCAGGAAACAAAAGCCACTGCAGTCACCAGGTAGATGAGATATGGCTGATTCCCCACCCCACCCCATCTCCGGTAGTGGTGTTTCTCTTTGGCAGGATCAGGAAGGTATAGGCAGTTTGGGGGACTGCACTGACAGATGGGATGGGCTGCAGTGGGATGGGATGGAAAAGGATTGGATTTCTCCATGGCTTCAGTGTGGAGTGCCCTCCATTCCCCTGCTGAGGAACTGCTCTGAATTTCCCTCCTTGCCCAAGCACCTCATTCTTTCATGGTGTCTGTTTTAATGCTCCATTCCCTGAGCTTCTCTCGTGATTCGTGTTCCAAGCGTGTCAGCCCCCCACCCCAAGCATTGATGCCCCACCCGCTGAAAACCTTTCTTGTTGCATGCAACCCCCACAGTTTGGGGTTAGAGTCCTCGCTTTTTTGTATTATATATATTTTTAAAAATCCCCTGACATTTAAAATAAACTCCCTTTGTGGGTTTTTTTTTGTTTTTGTTTTTTGTTAACACAAAATGTAATGGAGCTGTGTCCATCTATCCTTTCTCCCTGTTCCCTCCCTCACCCCACATCTTTCCTTCTCCCATGCACCCTTTCTGGATCTGTGTCTCAACAGCAAAAGATTTTAGTAAAAACACTGAAGGAAAAAAATCCACACAAAAAAAGAGCCTCCAAGCCCAGATGAATATGCAGATGTGGAGGGTGCATGCAGCCCACTGGTTATCCACCTCTGTGCTACAGCCATTGAGAGAGAGCCCTGCTACCAAAGGTTCTGGTAAACCAAACCGTTCTAGAGACCTTGTTAATCATTATTAAACAATGGCACTAGCAGCCTTCAGGAATGCATCCTTAGCTTTAGCTAAACATGCAAAGGAGGGGCCTCGGGAAGAGATGTGCAATCTACACCATGCTGTGGTTCTTCTTAGTCTCCCATTCCTGGATGGTGATTGCCTGAGCCAGGAAACCTTTTGTACTCAGGAAAGTTTCCTATGCATTTTAGAATACTGGGAGATCAAATGGAAAGTACTGAAATTTATGTGCTCACCTGAGGGATTGCTGCCTCCTCCATACCTGTGTTAGAATCACCTATGAGTAACACAGGGCCTGGCTTATCCGGAGCCTGTTGTGGTGTCAGAGTATTGGTGCAGCTTCCAATTGGAAAAAGAATCTGACTTTTCCGAGAGCCTGAAGTCAGTGAAACCTCGTGACAATAAGACTGAAGAAATGCCCGGACTCCGTCAATCCCCACAAACTGTGAAACTGGTGCACCACTGAAATTCAAACTTGCATTATCAGACAGCTGAGAATTTTTCCACCTGCGAAGTTTGAGTGCCAGTAACGCAAGGAGGAAGGCGAGGAACAAGCAGGAGACAAAAGCCACTGCAGTCACCAAGTAGAAGGTGAGATCTGACTGTGGGTCTTCAGATACTGGGACACTGCTCAGATCAGTCAGCATGTCAGGGATGCTGTCAGCCAAGACCACAGTGACAGTGACTGATGCCGACATTGGAGGCTGCCCATTGTCCTTGACCAAAACCACCAGGCTTTGCTTGAGGGCATCTTTCTCCAGAAAGAAGCGGGCCGTCCTGATCTCTCCCGTGTGGAGCCCCAGAGTGAAGAGCCCTGGCTCGGTGGCCTTGATCAGCTGGTAGGAGAGCCAGGCATTCTGGCCAGAGTCCGCATCCACGGCCACCACCTTAGTGACCAGGTAGCCTGGCTCTGAGGAGCGAGGGGCCAGCTCTATCCCCGTGGAGCCGTCAGTGGGAAGGGATGGGTACAGGATTTGGGGAGCGTTGTCATTCTGGTCCAGGATGAAGAGAGTCACTGAGACATTGGAGCTGAGTGGTGGAGAACCTCCGTCCTGAGCCCTTGACATGGAACTTAATCTCCCTGATCTCTTCATAGTCAAAAGAACACAGAGCATAGATGACCCCTGTCTCTGAGTTAATGGAGAGGTATGAGGAGAGAGGTGAGCCAGTCACTTGACTTTCTATGATGGAATAAGTTATTCTGGAGTTCTCTTCCCAGTCTGGATCATTTGCATTTAGAGAAAATATGGATGCTCCTCTCTGATTATTTTCCATGAAAAATGACTTGTAATCTGATCTTGCAAAGTGAGGTGGGTTATCATTTGTGTCTAAAATGTGCAGAGCTATGATGGTGGTTGTAGAAAGAGAAGGCATTCCATGATCAGTTACTGTGATGGTGATGTTGTAGTTTGCCACTTGTTCTCTGTCAAGGGGGCCATCTGTCACCAAACTATAAAAGTTGTCTATGGATTGTTTTAGCTGAAACGGGAGGTTTCTGGGAATTGTGCATGTGACCTCACTATTGATTCCAGAATCTTGATCTTCTACATTTATAATAGCAATAACTGTTCCGGTTGATGAGTTCTCATGAATGGAGTTGGTCAGAAAGGTCACAGTTAATTCTGGCGCATTGTCATTCAGATCTGTGACCATGATCTCAACCTTTGCTCTGTCAAACAGTCCTCCAAAGTCTTCAGCTTGCACCTCAAATTCATAGAAGGATGATGTCTCAAAGTCCAAGTTTCCCATGAGGGTTATTATGCCAGTTGTTGAATTTAAAAGAAACATTTGTGAATCCTTTTTTGTGGTTTTTTTGAAGGAGTATTTCACCTCTCCGTTGATTCCTTCATCCAGATCAGTGGCTTTGACTGCACAGACTATGGACCCTTTGGGAATGTTCTCCTCAATGCTGATTTCATAGACTGGTTGGCTAAAAATTGGTGCGTTGTCATTTGCATCTAAAACAATGACTTGAATTTGAGCAGTGCCAGTCCTGACAGGATCACCCCCATCCATAGCCGTAAGAATTAGATCATAAACTGACTGTTCCTCTCTGTCCAAAGGTTTTTCCAGCACCAGCTCAGCATGTTTGGGACCATTTTCTCCTGTTTGAACATCCAGAGAAAAATACACGCTGCCTGTGAGTTGGTAATTCTGAACAGAATTTATCCCCAGATCTGGATCAGTAGCCTCAGGCAGAGGAAACCGAGACCCTTTTATAGATATTTCATTAATTTTCACCTCCAGTTGTCCTGGAGGAAAGTGGGGAGCATTATCGTTTATATCAGTAATTTCCACTTCAACTCCATAAAGTTTTCTTTTACTCTCAACAATAACCTGAAAATTTAGTTTGCACTTCTCTGCCCATGCACAAATTTCTTCTCTGTCAATTCTGTCAGTGGTTTGTAAATGACCACTGTTGTAGTTCAAAGCAAAATACTGAATCATACCTGTTCTGGTAAGAATCCGGAGCTCACGGTTTGAAAGATTATTTCCATCCATTCCTAGATCCTTTGCAATTTTTCCCACAAAAGAGCCTTTCTGCATCTCCTCTGGAATGGAATAATGAAGTTGTGCAGAAACTGTCTTCAAAATGAACATCAATATGAGGCATTGCAACAAGATTGTCTCTTTACAGCTCCATTGCTTCTGGTTTTCTCCCATTTTCTTGCAACAGGATAAATGCCACTTATTCTGGCTCAGACGTTTTTGAGTATGAAATAAATGCTGTTGTTTTTTATTTAAAGTTGCTCCTATTACACTCCCTGCAATGTGTGTGCAAGTATGGTCATGCAGATATTTTCTGTTTATACAGTAGAGAATTTATGGAACTCCCAGTGTGTTCTGTAGCCAAATTGGTGAACAGCGACACCCAGAGGCTCAACTGAAAACTATAGATCGTTTAAACATAATATTACTTTCATATTGCCTAGACAATCTGAGTCAGGGATGTGATGGACTGAAAGTTCCACATCCTGTTTAATAGACCCAAGTGATATGGCGAGGCAATCTCATTATCTTCATCTGGAGTACTTTAAAAAGTTGATGCTTTTTTCTTGTGCTTGTAATGTGCATTAATATATGGGGTGTTAATTGCATTAGGAGGATTGCATTCATTATCTATTAATATAGTCATGTAAGTAGGGTTTATTGCATGTTTTATAAAGCACCCCAGGCTTATCTGCAGTTAGGGTAGCAAGGTGCTCATTCAGAGAGGCTGCTTTAAATGTTTCAACAGCGCATGTGCTTATTCATAAGATAACTGCACTGTGTAGAGGGCCGTGGCCTCAGGCACCCAGTAGCCCCATTCTATGCTCTGGTGAGTGAATTTTAAAGTGGAAAGGACGGCAGGTGAGACGATTGGGGCTGGGGTGTAGCTTTTTTGGGGTGATGAGGGCTTGCTGCTGTTGTTGCTGTTGGTTTTTTGTATCTTTATTTTAGATCTTGTGATTTATGTAGAAACTGTTCAGTTTGGTTGTGTTTCATGTTTTATTATCAGTTCCATGTTTTATTTATGACTACTTTTGTTATGTTGTAGTTATGTATTTTTTTATGTCGTAAGCTATCTTGAGCATGGTCTGAACTGTGGAAAAGAGGCATACAAATAAAATAATTTATGTATGTGCGTGTTGGTAGAGGAAGACATCAGAAGGCACAGTGGTTTCAGTCTCCCTCAGTATCTCAAGAGCATTTAAGGGGTTTGAGCACTTCATGGTAAATTATATAAATATATTGGATACAAAGCTCTGAACAACTCAGGACCTTGTTTTCTGAAAGAACTCCTGTCCCTATATACACCTGGTGGATCACTGAGATCTATTCAAAAAAGAATAAACAAAATTATCAAGGAGTACAAGCAACCCCTTCTATGAAGAATCATAGAATCATAGAGTTGGAAGAGACCACAAGAGCCATCGAGTCCAACCCCCTGCCAAGCAGGAAACACCATCAGAGCACTCCTGACATATGGTTGTCAAGCCTCTGCTTAAAGACCTCCAAAGGAGGAGACTCCACCACACTCCTTGGCAGCAAATTCCACTGTTGAACAGCTCTTACTGTCAGGAAGTTCTTCCTAATGTTTAGGTGGAATCTTCTTTCTTGTAGTTTGGATCCATTGCTCCGTGTCCGCTTCTCTGGAGCAGCAGAAAACAACCTTTCTCCCTCCTCTATATGACATCCTTTTATATATTTGAACATGGCTATCATATCACCCCTTAACCTCCTCTTCTCCAGGCTAAACATGCCCAGCTCCCTTAGCCGTTCCTCATAAGGCATCGTTTCCAGGCCTTTGACCATTTTGGTCAAAGAAAACTTGCAGCTCTTGGGAATTTGTAGTTTAAAGAATAGGTGGGTAAGAGGTAACATGATAGAAGTTTATATAACTATGCAAAACACTAGAACGCAGGGACATCCAGTGAAGCTGAACGCTGGGAGATTCAGAACAGATAAAAGGAACTAAGTCTTCAAGCAGTGCATAGTTAAATGAAGGAACGCAAGCCTACAGGACGCAGTGATGATAAATCGGATGGCTTTAAAAGAGGATTAGACAAATTCATGGAGGAAAGGGCTATTGAAGGCTATTGCCCATAATGGTTATGCTCTGCCTCCACAGTTGGATACAGTAATGTTTTTGAATACCAGTTGCTGGAATCCACGGGATGGGAGGGTGCTTTTGAGCTCAGGTCCTATTTGTAGGTTTCCCACAGGTATCTGGTTGACCACTCAGCCAGGATGCTGAACTGCATGGGCTATTGGCCTCATCCAGCAGGTTCTTCTTATGAAATCATATTATGTTCTTATAAAGTCACAATGTTTTGCTGCTGATTCAGGGCTTGGAAAGGGTGTCATGGACCACAAATGGGACATACACTGAGTCAAGAGTCTATGTGTTAGTTATCTTTTCACTTAACAAGTCCTAGATTACTTACCTAATCTTTTCTTGTTCTCTAACCATAGGATCTGGAAATAATGGTTCTCAAAATTTGCCACTCCGATATCACTTATGATGCTTTTAATCTACCATCCATTATTTTTTTAATGAAGATAGAGCCAAAAAGCCAATATTTGGACAGTGGGAACAGGTGTGGCTTTTTTGGCTCAAAGATTTTTTATACAGGTCAGCAACCCCTTACAACACCTGAGAGTCAGCAGAAAACTGACACTACAAATGATCCAAATACATGCGTCACATACTTTGACTCCCACACTATGTCCACTTATAATCCATTCTGTAAAATACTTCTTTCACAAATCTACAGAGTATTAAACTCTCGAATGCTGCTACCATTCACAACTCAAAAATCAGATGATACTTTATGGGAAGAAGTGATGAGCAACTATCAGCTCTTCGAGGCAGGAGGAGGAAGCAAACACTGAACTCAGTCTTGACACTCATTCCTACCTGAATGGCACATTCCAATACTTGAGATTTGCTTGAAATTGAGAATGGCAATTTCTAAAAGGAGAGATTGTCATTCTATACCCACTTTCACCTTTTCTCAGGTGGCCGTCCTTGGCTTGGAGCCACATAGCAATTCATGTCTTTCTGCTCATGTCTCTTCACAGCACCCACCCACCCAATGGTGTTCTGAGGAAGGGTTGGTTGTGTTGTCACATCCTGCAAGTGCAGCACCACATGGTGCAATTAAGTAGGTGGAGAGATAACTTTTAATCTTGTTGGGAACCATCATCATCAGGAGCAGAAGTAGCTCATTGTGTATATGGGCTTTAATAAAGGGAAGGTTAGCTTTGGCTATTGTTTTTTCATTTCTGCCATTTGTTCATTCAAAAATTTCCAAACTGATTTTCTTCCCCTATCTTTCCATGAATGAGAATACTATACAACCAGGGAGGCTTGTTTTCAGCAAACAGCAGGAAGAGAAAGAGGCAGCAGTCCTTTGCACTTCCAGTTACAACCTCCGAGTCTGCTTTTTGAGTTGACAGAAAAAGCTCACCTGAAAATTGTTGTGTATTATCTCCTGTACAATAACTAGGCTGACTCTTACTGAAGTCTTGTTTCCCCAAAATGCTATAGTGTTTTATCTAATATGATATTTTGCAGCCAAGATTATGGTGTCCTTTGGTATTAGTTGATATTACATATTTTCTAGTATTTGGGGGGGGGCTGTTCTCTGTACCAATATTCATAGAACCATAGAGTCGGAAGGGACCACGGCCCTGAGATTAAGAGTCTCATGCTCTACTGACTAAGATATATTGACAATCATTGTCACTGAAAATGTTGTGTTTTACAGCATTTCCCCAATTAGTTTAGCCAATTGGTCAAGGCTAGAAGTTGTGATGCATGCTATGTATAATATTTTAGTATTCTTGATACTGCTTGCCCACCTTTGGCCTGAATCTCTTCCACTGTATTACTTTTAATTCCTGCTTCTCCTCCCTGCCCCAAAATTAATTAAATTTGTGTATTATTTAAGTATTGAATTAGAACTGTCAGGGGAGAAGGGAAAGAGAACCCTGGTTACACATTCCTTTTGTAATGCAACTTTACCAAATCAACATGGAGTTCATTAGGACCAGGTTTCTGAATTCTTATTAATTTTGTGTGTGTGTAAGGGTTGGTAACTGTCTTTAATAACTCACTGAAATTAGAAGAACTATTTTAATATATATATAATTAATTCTCCTTTGTTTCCAGGGGGTAGGATTTAATTATCATTTCATTTTCTTTACCAGATGTGTAGTCTGACCCATAATTTTGGAACTTCATCTCCACCCCCATCGTTCAGCCCAAACACTGAGGTCCAGTGCCAAGGGCCTTCTGGCGATTCCCTCATTGCAAGAAGTGAGGTTACAGGGAACCAGGCAGAGGGCCTTCTTGGTAGAGGCACGCTCCCAGATGTCAAGGCAATAATCTTACTTTTAAAAGACATCTGAAGGCAGCCCTGTTTAGGGAAGTTTTTAATGTTTAATGCTGTATTGTGTTTTTAATATTCAGTTGGGAGCCACCCAGAGTGGCTGGGGAAACCCAGCCAGATGGGCAGGGTATAAATAAATTAATAATAATAATAATAATAATAATAATAATAATAATAATAATTTCTAGATTTTTTCCACTATGCCTTTATTTGCCTGAAGGATAGTATTAGTTTAGACAATGAGATAACAATGCCATTAGTCTATAATAGTATTTATGCTCCATATTCCCAAATCTAGTACCAAATGTCCCAGGATTTAGCCTTAGTGTTAGGCACAGAATATTGTTGCGATTAAAGATAAATGTGCCCCTGCCTCTCTTGCTCTCTTAGATACAGGAGGATGGCTAGGGCAGCTCAGAAGGGCCCTTGCACAAATGCACACTCATGCAATGGTAGAAGGCTGGCGGGACAGCTTAAAGCCCACTGCCGCTACACAGCAGACGGATTGAAGAAAAGGAAGTACGAATTAGTCCTGTAGTCAAGTCCTAACCTTGACCAATCATGGCTAAGAGCGGATAGGAGCTGGTTGGAGTCACAGATCATTAAAAAGTGTAGACTCGCACACACTGGGCAGCTTCCGTTTTGACTTGAAATGTTAGTTTGGAGCTTCTCAGAAATATGTAAAGGCATGAAGTGGGGGGAGCGCCAGCCCAAATAGCCCCCACCTGAGAGGTGCCAGAACTGCACTCCAGCTGGAAAAAAAGCACTGGATATCATTAACAATTAATGAAAGTAAAAATTACACATTTTATGTTCCCTGTTACAACAGTTATTTCATATATATATGTGTGTTCTTTCTGATAGATGATAGATAGATAGATAGATAGATAGATAGATGATAGATATAGATAGATAGCTATAGATAGATATAGATAATACAAACTTCTTCAAATAAAAAACAAAAACAAGATAAATATA